CTTGGGAAAGGTATGAATCTTCTCCTCCTCCTCCTCCTCCCAGCTGTGGATAAATAGCATGACAGACCGGGTTCTATAGTCTTGGATGGCAACTGGTCTACCGCAGAAAGAAATGGCAACCTAGTGCGGGAAAAACTCTGCCTCGTCAGTCATGTATCGAAAGCTACATGATCGCCTAAGCGTGTATCATTCATAGCACATAATTGACTTCATTTTAAGCCTGATCTGGCTCTTGTAAAAATAGCAGGTTTGATTTGGTTTGGTTTACGGCATATCAACCTCAATGAGTTAATTAATGACAGGATTTTTATTGCTAGTAATTTTTTTCAAAAATATATTGCTGCTAATATTCTTTTCTTCAAAAATGTATTGCTAGTAATATTTTTTCCTTCAAAAATTCATTGCTGGTAATATTTTTACAAAAAAGTATTGCTGTTATTAAAACCTAATTTTAATTTTACACTATAATAGTGTTTTGACCCCAGTTTTGGGGGTTAACTATTTGACCATGGCTGGGACCTTAATAGGTGCTACCACTCGGGGTCAGGATGGAGCTGGGAACACCAGCAATTAAGAGGTGGTTCTACGCTCCTCAAAATCTCTTGATCAGAGGCCTTGCTGTTGGATGTAGTTTATCGTCTTACTCAGGACTCGGATGTAGTTTATCGTCATGCCCAGAATGCGGATGTAGTTTATCGTCATATTCAGGACTAAAAATAGCAGGTGGAGTCTTAGATTTACTTGAGCGCTACAAGTAGACGACCATTTTTCTAGTATCTCTTTAGCAATGGATCGTATGTACGGCTCTCATCGATAGATAGAAATGACATTTCCTACTCCCTCTATATTCTTTAAGAGATTTTTGAAAACTGTATTATGAAGTTTGTGAATAAGGATATTTTTGTGATGTCAACGAATACTCGTTGCCACTTTTGTGATGCCAACAAATACTCGTTGTCACTTTTGTTATGCTCATTGTAGTAGAGGCTTTGTAATCGTAGATACAACTATCGTATGCCGTTGAACAATACTGGTGTCAGACGTCTTCGAATAACACTCACATTAATAGTACTTGCTCGATAATACTCACCCGAAAAGTAACCCATATAGTGATCTGAATAGAGGAATAGTATAGGGAATAGAGTAGAGAATAACGGTCCGTATAATAATAAAGGATAGAATAGAAATGCAGATCTGAATAGTAATAGAGGATAGACTAGAAAAAGAGATCAATTAGACGTAATGCAACCTCCTACTTATGCGTTTCCTCTATGTTCACGCGGTCTACTTAATTCCATAACAGCATCGCCTGTTTGCTCGGTGACGATCTATATTCAAACTCAAGAGTCGGAAGCGGGACTCTATTCCTATGTAACAGATATTAATGATTATGATAGGGACTTTGATAAACCAAAGCCATTATTGCTCACTAAAAAATCTCTAACTAAATACAGGTTGATTAAAAATCTGGCAATAATTAAATGCTTATAAAATACCTTTATTAAATATATGTTGATCAAAATCCGTAGATAATTAAATGCTTATAATATCCCTTTATTAAATATAGGTTAATAAAAAATCCGGCAATAATTAAATGCTTATAAATTCACTTTATTTAATATAGGTTAATAAAAAATCCGGCAATAATTAAATGCTTATAAAATCCCTTTATTAAATATAGGTTAATAAAAAATCCTTTAATTAAATTAAATATTTATTTTATATAAAAAAAAATCCGGCAATAATTAAATGCTTATAAAATTCCTTTAAATATAAATAAAAATAGGTTAATAAAAAAAATCCTTTTTTATTAAATAATTAAAAAAATGGCAATAATTAAATCACTTTATTTAATATAGGTTAATAAAAAATCCGGCAATAATTAAATGCTTATAAAATCCCTTTATTAAATATAGGTTAATAAAAAATACGGCAATAATTAAATGCTTATAAAATTCCTTTATTAAATATAGGTTAATAAAAAATCCGGCAATAATTAAATGCTTATAAAATCACTTTATTTAATATAGGTTAATAAAAATCTTATAAAATAATTTAATATAGGTTAATAAAAAATCCCTTTATTAAATATAGGTTAATAAAAAATCAGGCAATAATTAAATGCTTATAAAATCCCTTTATTAAATATAGGTTGATCAAAAATCCGGCAATAGTTAAATGTTTATAAAAATCCAGAAATCATTGTAGACTTCTATGCATAATCTTGTAGACAATGTTACAAGTGTATAGATATGGGGATTCTAACTTGGAGTGCAATAAAAGTTCTAATAACGGTTACACAACAAGAAAGAAAAGAAAATCGAAATTAACATGAAATTCAAATATATCTCTAAATAACTAAATAAATTCGTAAAGTTTCTACGTGGTTCTTTATCAGAGGCCAGCTCGTCGTATTTTCATCCGTCGACCGTCAGATGTCAACACCCCGCCAAAAAAAAAAAAAAAAAAAAAAAAAAAAAAAAAAAGACGGAGAGAGTTCTTAATTGTTCACAAAGATGGAGACGAAGCAAAGCCGTTATTGGCTCGTCTACTGACCAATCAGAGGAATTTTACATGCCGGATACAGCAATACAGTTAAAGAGACTTCTGGATAGGCCATTTCATTTAAATTTTTACAAGAGGCCGTTATAACTTATTAAATCCTACCATGCCAAAAATGTATTAATCTCACAGATTTCGAATTATGATCTAAACAGTTAAACACTTTCATTACGGGATATTGACCTAGTCTAACCGCTATGTTTATACCCTAGCATTTAACCTTGTGCCGTGTATAGTGTTAGGTTGTCACACATGAAATGATAGACTTTATAGGAAATGAATAAATAGCTTCTGAAATGTTAAATAACTAATTTATTTAGTTGAAATAGGCAGCATGTTGAGGAATGACTGTTTTCCAACGTACCACTAAATTCTTGATCCCATCTTTAAAAAAAATGATCATCCTTTAATGTGATAAACACTTCAAATGCTTCGATTAGCTCTTCCTTATTGGAGAATTTTTTATTGCATATAAAAAGCTCAAAATAATCAAATAAGGGACAATCAGTTAGAAGAGATATCAGGTAAACATGGAGGATGAGGCCAAATTTCATAATTCAGGCTATACAGCTGTTGGACCGTTGATTGAGAAGTGTGTAGCCATGCATTGTCATTCAGCAAAATTGGACCATCCCTATTCACAAGTCTAGGATGTTTCTTTTTTAATTTTTTGTGCATACACTCAATTTCTTCATAATACAACGTTGTTGTTATTATTTTACCTCGGGACAAGAATGAATAATTAATAACTCATTTGAAAGACCACTATAGAGTAACAATTAACCTTTTAGAGTACAGTGGAGATTTGGGGTATTGTATTGGTGATTCACTTGCATGTAACCACTGGCCTTACTCTTACTGTTGTGAAAAAGTATCCATTTCTCATCGCATGTAATGATTCAATGCAAAAATGGGTTTTTCCCCAGGTTTACTCATACATACAGTAAGACTACTCGACATTGTAATCATTTTCATTGGGCTTATGAGTAACAATATACCGAAAGAAAAATTATCTAGAGAGAAAAAAGAGTCAAGAATAAGTCAAGATTTTTTTTGTATACTAAGGCGGTTACTTCGTTAGACGACCGGATCAACAATCAACCGAAAAATGCGTCATTTAATGTGTGACAAGCTAATACTTTAATTTTACTTTTTTCTATCCTGTCTATATTTCTGAGATGAGGTGTTATGTACACTATTTACATTATTCGGACTATTGTCCTCATCTTTGTTTCGATATTTATCACAACGAAATAAAGGTTTCAGTTCGACATTCCAACCACCTGAAGAAGGTCGAAGCGTACAACGGCCGAAACGCTGTGATAAATATGGCAACAAAGGACAGTCTACCCCAGCGAGCGAAATAAAGGATTCAGTTACATTTTAACCACCTGTTGAAGGCTAGAGCATACAACGGGCGAAACCTTGTGATAATTATGGCGACAAAAATGAGGACAATAGTCCGAATAATGTAAATAGTTTACATAATACATCATCTCAGAAATGTAGACAGATACTGAGGGGTCGAAATGTTGTGATAAATATGTCGACAAAGATGAGGACAATAGTCCGAATAATGTAAATAGTGTACATAATACCTCATCTCAGAAATATAGACAGATACTGAACGGCCGAAACGTTGTAATAAATATGGCGACAGATGAGGACAATAGTCCGAATAATGTAAATAGTGTACGTAATACCTCATCTCAGAAATATAAACAGATACTGAACGGCCGAAACGTTGTAATAAATGTGGCGACAGATGAGGACAATAGCCCCAATAATGTAAATAGTGTATTTTTTCCATGCCAATTGATTTAATATTTCTAATTCTAAGAGAGAGATTTCAATATTGAGAATAAGTTATGCCTCAATTATCTGACAATATAGTGATTTGTTTGTTTTAACTTGGTCACTGTTCTTGAGTATGCAACAAAATTCTGAGTGATTACGAAGTTGAGAACCTCTTCTGCTTTGCCTAAAGAAATCAGAGAACTTAATTTTCGCTTTGTTTTAACCAAAGAATCTTAGCTTTCTCATCAAAGAATTCACTGGCCAGTGCAATGTATTAAGCTATCATTAAATGTTGGAGAAAATCCGAAAGAAAAAAGAAGAAGTATATTTAATAATCAGGAGAAAATATCGAACTGGGAAGCTGACGTTGAATAAGACGGATTTCAATCAGAATTGAATTTGGGGAAAAAAAAATTGAGATGTAAACCAGAAGGAAAACGAAGCAATAAAATAATGAAAAGGTTATAAAGTTCTCTTTAAACCTCAAGGCAGAAATCGAATTATTAAAAATAGTGAATCACTTGAAGCGACATTTTCTAAGAGGAAAATTAGTATTCAAACCGAGGAAAGAAATAAATAATAAACAGAGCATGAGAATGAGTACGGCAGGAAAAGAGAAGGGAAAAGAGTAGTTAAATAGATTAAAGGGCGAACGAAAGAGAGAGAGAGAGAGAGAGAGAGTAAAAGGAGAATGAGAAAATCTGAAGGTAAAAGAGAGTGAGAAAAAGAGAGCGGGAAAAATGAAAGACTGAACAAAGGTTAGAATGATTAAGGAAAGAAAGAGTGAACGAAAGTAGAGAAGAGATAGAGAATGAGAGAGAGAGAGAGAGAGGGGGGTAAAATAAGAAAGAGAAAGTCAGAATGTAAGAGAGAGAGAGAGAGAGAGAGAAAGAGAACGCGAGAGAGTGAAAAATTGGAGAAAGATTAGACTGACTAAGGGAAGAAAGAGTAGACGAATGGAGAGAAAAGAGACAGAGAGAAAGTACTTAACGTGAGGGGAATAAAAAGCCAAGAAAAAATTGAAAGTGAGATAGGGTAAAGTATGAGAGAGAAGGTTAGAGGGTGATAGAGAGAGAGAGAAGGGGAGAAGGAGAAATGATTAATCGATTGAAGAGCAAACGCACGAGTGAAAGACGGGAGGGGAGAGAAGTAAGAGAGAGAGAGAGAGAGGGGGTGAATATCTGAAGAAAGGTTAGAATGAGAAGTGAAGAAAGAGGGAAGTAAAGAGAGAGTAGTTAAAGGGAAGTGAAGAGAGAGACATAAGGAGAAAGAATAAAATAATTGGTTGGGAAAAAAGCGAACGAAAGAGAGAGAAAGAGAAAGAGAAAGAAAGACCTAGGAATAAATAATAATAAATTGATCGATCGAAGAAAAGGACGAATGAAATAGAGAGTGATAGAGTAAAATGAGAGAGTGAGTGAAAGCTAAAGAGAGATATATACGTGAGGGACAGAAGAAATAATGTTAATAATGAGAGAGGTAAAGATCGAGAGTGAAAGTGTGAGAGAGGCATTAGATGACAGAAAAGAATGACTGATTGTGAAAAGAGAGAAAGAGATGAGGTGGAGGGAGTAAGAATGATAGATTGAGAGAATGGAGTAAATAGCGAACAAAAGAGATGGAGCAAGGGAGTGGGAGAGAGAGAGGGAGGAGAGATTGGATTTAAGAAGGAGACAGAGAGAGACAGAGAGAAGAAATAATAGAATGATTGATTAAAAAAAGAGCGAGTGAGAGAAAGAGGATGAGTGAAAGAGAATGAAAGAGGGAATGAGAGAAAAAATAAGGAAAGAAGGAACAAAAGAAGAAAGGAAGAAAGAATGAGACATTAAAGCAAAAAGGAAAGAAATAGCGAAAAAAGAATAGAAGAGCGGAAGAAGAGGGTAGTAAAGAGCGGAAGATGAGGAGAGTAAAGAGCGGAAGAAGAGGGGAGTAAAGAGCAAGAGAAGAGGAGAGTAAAGAACGGAAGAAGAGGGGAGTAAAGAGCGGAAGAAGAGGGGGGAAGAAGAAAGCGGAAGATGAGGGGAGCGGGAAGAGCGGAAGATGAAGGAGAGCAAAGAGCGGAAGATGAGGAGAGTAAAGAGCGGAAGATGATAGGAGTAAAGAGCGGAAGAAGAGGAGAGTAAAGAGCGGAAGAAGAAGAGAGGAAAGAGCGGAAGAAGAGGGGAGTAAAGAGTGAAAGAAGACAACAGTAAAGAGCGGAAGATGATGGGAGTAAAGAGCGGAAGATGAGGAGAGTAAAGAGCGGAAGAAGAGGGGAGTAAAGAGCGAAAGAAGAGGAGAGTAAAGAGCGGAAGATGATGGGAGTAAAGAGCGGAAGAAGAGGAGAGTAAAGAGCGGAAGATGAGGGGAGTAAAGAGCGGAAGATGAGGAGAGTAAAGAGCGGAAGATGATGGGAGAAGAAGAGGGAAGATAAAGAGCGGAAGATGAGGAGAGTAAAGAGCGGAAGATGATGGGAGTAAAGAGCGGAAGAAGAGGAGAAAAGAAGCGGAAAGATGAGGGGAAGAAGAGCGGAAGATGAGAGAGAAGAGCAAAGAAGAGGAAGAAGATGGGAAGTAAAGGAGAGCAGGAAGATGAGGAGAGCAAAGAGCGGAAGATGATGGGAGTAAAGAGCGGAAGAAGAGGAGAGTAAAGAGCGGAAGAAGAGGAGAGTAAAGAGCGGAAGAAGAAGAGAGGAAAGAGCGGAAGAAGAGGGGAGTAAAGAGCGGAAGAAGAGGGGAGTAAAGAGCGGAAGAAGAAGGGAGTAAAGAGCGAAAGAAGAGGAGAAAAGATGAAGATGAGGGAGTAAAGAGCGGAAGAAGAGGGGAGTAAAGAGCGAAAAGAAGAAAGGAGAATAAAGAGAGGAAGATGATGGGAGAAAAAGAAGAAGATGAGGAAAGAGCGGAAGAAGAGGGAAGAAGAGCGGGAAGAGGAGAATAAAGAGCGAAAGAAGAGGGGAGTAAAGAGCGGAAGATGATGGGGAGTAAAGAGAGGGAGTAAAGAGCGGAAGAAGAGGGGAAAAGAGAGAAGAAAAAAGAGCGGAAGAAGAAGAGGGAGAAAAGAGCGGAAGAAGAGGGGAGTAAAGAGTGAAAGAAAGACAGATGAGGAGAGCAAGAGCGGAAGATGATGGGAGTAAAGAGCGGGAAGAGAGAGGAGAGAAAAGAGCGAAAGAAGAGGAGAGTAAAGAGGAAAGAAGATAGGAAAGTAAAGAGCGGAAGAGAGGGAGAGAAAAGAGCGGAAGAAGAGGAGAGTAAAGAGCGGAAGATGAGGGGAGAAGAGGGGAAGATGAGGAGAAGAGAAAGAGCGGAAGATGATGGGAGAAAGAGCGAAGAAGAGGGAAGATGAGGAGAGAGAAAAGAGCGGAAGATGATAGGAGTAAAGAGCGAAGAAGAGGAAGAGTAAGATGAGGGGAAAGAAGAAGAGAGGAAAGAGCGGAAGAAGAGGGGGGAGTAAAGAGGAAAGAAGAAGACAAAGAGTAAAGAGAGGAAGATGATGGGAAGTAAAGAGCGGAAGAAGAGGAGAGGTAAAGAGCGGAAGATGAGGGGAGTAAAGAGCGAAGAAGAGAAGAAAGGAGAAGAGTAAAAGAGCGGAAGATGATGGGAGTAAAGAGCGGAAGAAGAGAGAGAGAAAGAGCGAAAGAGCGGAAGATGAGGGGAGTAAAGAGCGGAAGATGATGGGAGTAAAGAGCGGAAGATGATGGAGTAAAGAGCGGAAGATGATGGGAGAAAAAGAGCGGAAGAAGAGGGGAGTAAAGAGAGCGGAAAGAGAAGAAGAGGAGAAAAGCGAAAGGAAGAAGAGGGGAAAGATGAGGAGAGAAGAGCGGAAGATGAGGAAGAGGAACAAGTAAAAAGAGCGGAAGATGATGGGAAAGAGCGAAAGAGCGGGAGATGATGAGGAAAGAAGAAGAGGGGAAGAGGAAGAAGAGGGGGAGGAAAGAGTGGAAGATGATGGGGAGTAAAAGAGGGGAGAACAGTAAAGAGCGGGAAGATGATGGAGAGTAAAGAAGATGCGGAAGAAGAGAAGAAGAAAGAGTGGAAAGAAGAGGGGAGTAAAGAGGAAAAAAGAAAGACAAGAAGAGGAAAGAAGAGCGGAAGAAGAAGGGAGTAAAGAAAGAAATGAGGAAGAAGAGGGATGAGTAAAGAGAAAGAAGAGGGGAGTAAAGAAGACGGGAGATGAAGGGGGAAAAAAGAGCGGAAGATGATGGGAGTAAAGAGGGGAAGATGAGGAGAGTAAAGAGCGAAAGAAGAGGGAGAAGAGCGGAAAAGAGAAGAAGAGAAAAGATGGGAGAGTAAGAGCGAAGATGATGGAAGAAAGATGGAAAGAGGAGGAGTAAAGCGGAAGATGAAAAGAGCGGAAGATGAGAGAAGAGTAAATGAGATGGAAGAAGGGAGTAAAAAGAAAAGAGAGGAAGAAAGAGGAGAGAAGAAAGAAGAAGAAGAGAGAGAAAGAAAGAAGATGAGGGGAAAAGAGAAATGAGGGAGTAAAGAGGAGAAGAGGAGAGCGGAAGAAAGAAGATGGGAGTAAAGAGCGGAAGATGAGGAAGAGTAAAGAGCGAAGATGAGGAGAGAAAAGGAGAGGAAGATGAGGGAGTAAAGAGCGGAAGAAGAGGAGAGTAAAGAGCGGAAGAAGAGGAGAGTAAAGAGCGGAAGATGAGGGGAGTAAAGAGCGGAAGATGAGGAGAGCAAAGAGCGGAAGATGATGGGAGTAAAGAGCGGAAGATGAGGAGAGTAAAGAGCGGAAGATGATGGGAGTAAAGAGCGGAAGAAGAGGAGAGTAAAGAGCGGAAGAAGAAGAGAGGAAAGAGCGGAAGAAGAGGGGAGTAAAGAGCGGAAGATGATGGGAGTAAAGAGATGAAAAGAGCGGAAGATGATGGGAGTAAAGAGCGGAAGATGAGGAGAGTAAAGAGCGGAAGAAGAGGGGAGTAAAGAGCGAAAGAAGAGGAGAGTAAAGAGCGGAAGATGATGGGAGTAAAGAGCGGAAGAAGAGGAGAGTAAAGAGCGGAAGATGAGGGGAGTAAAGAGCGGAAGATGAGGAGAGCAAAGAGCGGAAGATGATGGGAGTAAAGAGCGGAAGATGATGGGAGTAAAGAGCGGGAAGATGATGGGGAGTAAAGAAGAGGAAGAAAAGGGGAAGAAAAGAGAGGGAAGAAAGAAGAGGGAGTAAAGAGCGGAAGAGAGGAAGAGCGGAAGATGATGGGAGTAAAGAGCAGAAGAAAGGAAGAAAGAGCAAGATAAAGAAAGAGGGAAGATGATGGAGAGTAAAGAGCGGAAGATGATGGGAGTAAAGAGAAGAAGATGAGGAGAGCAAAGAGCGGAAGATGATGGGAGTAAAGAGCGGAAGATGGGGAGAGTAAAGAGCGGAAGAAGAAGAGAGGAAAGAGCGGAAGAAGAGGGGAGTAAAGAGTGAAAGAAGACAACAGTAAAGAGCGGAAGAAGAAGAGAGGAAAGAGCGGAAGAAGAGGGGAGTAAAGAGTGAAAGAAGACAACAGTAAAGAGCGGGAGATGATGGGAGTAAAGAGCGGAAGATGATGGGAGTAAAGAGAGGAAGATGAGGAGAGCAAAGAGCGGAAGATGATGGGAGTAAAGAGCGGAAGATGGGGGAAGATGAGAGCGGAAGAAGAGGAGAGAAGAAAGAGAGAGAAAAAGAGAAGAAGAGGGAGTAAAGAGTGAAAAGAAGACAACAGTAAAGAGCGGAAGATGATGGGGAAAAGAGCGGAAGATGAGGAGAGAAAGATGGAAGAAGAGGGGAGTAAAGAGTAAAGAAGAGGAGAAAAGATGAAGAAGGGGAGAAAGAGCGGAAGAAGAGGAGAGTAAATGAGGGAGAAGGAAGATGAGGGAGAGGAGTAAAGAGCGAAAGAAGAGGAGAGTAAAGAGCGGAAGATGATGGGAGTAAAGAGCGGAAAGATGAGGGAAGAAGAGGAAGAAGAGTGAAGCGAAAGAGGGGAAGAAGAGGGAAAGAAGAGGAGAAAAAGAGTAAAGAAAGAAGAGGAGAGTAAAGAGCGGAAGATGATGGGAGTAAAAAGGGGAGTAAAGAAAGATGAGGAGGAAAGAGCGGAATGAACGGAAGATGAAGGGGAGAGTAAAAGAGCGGAAGAAGAGGGAGGAAGAGCAAAGAGGAGGAAGATGAGGGGAGAAAGAGCAAGAAGAGGAGAGAAGAGCGGAAGATGAGGGGAGTAAAGTAAATGAGCGGAAGATGAGGAGAGGGGAGTAAAGAGCGGAAGAAGGAGAGAGGAGGAAGATGAGGGAGAAAAGAAAGATGAGAGTAAAAGAGCGAAAGAAGATGGGAGTAAAGAAAGAAAGAAGAGGGAGAGTAAAGAGCGAAAGAAGAGGGGAGTAAAGAGCGAAAGAAGAGGAGAGTAAAGAGCGGAAGATGATGGGAGTAAAGAGCGGAAGATGAGGAGAGTAAAGAGCGAAAGAAGAGGGGAGTAAAGAGCGGAAGATGATGGAGGAAAAGAGGGGAAGATGAAAGAGAGAGTAAAGAGCGGATGATGAGGGGAGTAAAGAGCGGAAGATGAGGGAGAGAAGAAAGAGCGAAAGAAGAGGAAGATGAGGGAGTAAAAGAAGCGGAAGAAGATGGGAGTAAAAGAGCGGAAGAAGAGGAGAGGAGCGGGAAGATGAGAGAGTGAAAAGAAGACAGGAGAGTAAAGAGCGAAAGAAGAGGGAGAAAAGAGCGAAAAGAAGAGGGAGAAGACAAAGAGCGGAAGATGATGGGAGTAAGAGCGAAAGAAGAGGAGAGAAGAGTAAAGAAGAGGGGAAGATGAAAGAAGAGGAGAGTAAAGAGATGGAAGATGAGGGGAGAGCAAAGAGCGGAAGATGAGGAGAGGAAAGAGGCGGAAGATGATGGGAGTAAAGAGGGAAGATGAGGAAAAAGATGGGAGAAAGAGCGGAAGAAGAGGAGAGTGAGGAAGACAAAAGTAAAGAGCGGAAGATGATGGGAGTAAAGAGGGAGCGGAAGATGAGGGGAGTAAAGAGCGAAAGATGAGGGAGTAAAGAGCGGAAGATGAGGGGGGAGCAAGAGCGGAAGATGAGGAGAGTAAAGAGGGAGAAGAGGATGGGAGAGCAAAGAGCGGAAGAAGAGGGAGAGTAAAGAGGGTAAGAAGAAGGGAAGTAAAGAGCGGAAGAAGAAGAGAGAAAGAGCGGAAGAGAGAGAAAAAGAGAAGAAAGGAGTGAAAGAAGAAGAGGAGAGTAAAGAGCGAAAGAAGAGGGGAGTAAAGAGCGAAAGAAGAGGAGAGTAAAGAGCGGAAGAATAGGGGAGTAAAGAGCGAAAGAGGAGAGTAATAGCGGAAGATGATGGGAGTAAAGAGCGGAAGAAGAGGGGAGTAAAGAGCGGAAGATGAGGAGAGTAAAGAGCGGAAGATGATGTGAGTAAAGAGCGGAAGATGATGGGAGTAAAGGGCGGAAGAAGAAGCCAAAAAAGAGGAGGAGGGGGGGCAAAAAAGCGAAAGGACAAGAAAAGAAAGCGAAGTAGGGTATAATAGTTGGCGAAAGAAAAGGGGAATAAAGAACGGAAGAAGAAGGAAAAAACGAGCGGAAGGAGAAGGGACAAAACAGCGAAAGACGAAGGAAAGAAAAAGCGAAAGGGGGAATAAAGAGCGGAAGACGCGAGAAAAGACATAGTGAAAGAAAGAGCTAAAGAAAGAGTGACGAATTACAGAGACTCCTGGGTATGACGATAGACTACATTTAACAGCAAGGCCTCTAACCAGGAGGTCTTGAAGAGCGTGGAACCACCTCTTAATTGCTGTTCCCAGGTCCACTCTGATCCGGGGTGATAGCACCTATTAGGGTCCTCTTCTATTAACCCCCCCTCCCAAAATGGTGTAAAAACACAATGAAAGTATAAAAATAGATGTTTATAATAAAAATACCAGCAATTCAATTTGGAAAAAAAATGCCAGCAATACATAAAAAGAAATATTGCCAGCAATAAATTTATTCTATTCCTACGAACCTATCCTTAAAATCTTGTCGGCATTAACTAATCCGTTGTGGTTGATATGACGTAAAAAAAGCAAACTTTACATAATAATGATATCAAAGAAGTATTATTTGATAAGTGAATTTGGTTTATTTAAAAATATTTGGAGAGAAAGAATGAAAGACTTAAAATGGGATTTAGAAGAGAAAGAAAGAATGGAAATAAAACGGACAGAAGCTGATACGTCCCGGAAAGGGATATATTTGTTCGAAGTAGCAAAGTGGTTTTTGACTACTGTAACCGGGTAGGACAATCTAGAAGGTAACCGTAATGGACTGACCCTCGTCATAGTGGTAGGCAATAGGCGTAGGCAATAGGCGAAGTCTATAGGCGTCCAATAGGCGTCTTCCTGTACCTCCACATCAGTCTGTATTTATGGCTGACACCAGCCAATCATATTACTGTGAGGGGGAACCCAGGCGTATGCATATTCATTACATCAGAAGCAAAAGGGGAAAAAAGAAGGGGGAGAAAAGCCCAAGTATTCCCTACTATAGCAATGACCTGTAAGACATATTTTCTAATACTTGATGCGAAACACTTATACTTCACAAACTCATAAGACAAAAACACTGACCCCTTCAGTGCTACGAGATATTTGTCGAAGTAAATGCAATTCTCAGTGACAATCCATAAAGGTTTCATGACGCACGAAGAGTGACATAGCAATGGTGCTCATGGCGGGAAACAGAAACATATTTGGCGCCCCATATATAAAATGTTTTGATTTGCTTTTCGACTTATTACTCAGTTAATGATGAGAACAGAAAGAATTAATTACCAAGCCTTTATTTTTAATGCCATACGCGTCTTCAGAATGTAGGCAATCATGGCGATACGCAGATTCGTTTTTTATTATCTGTGAATTGCTATGACATCTTCAGAAATAGTCCTGTGGTTTGCTATTGCCTTTTCCAAGGTTTTGAATACAGATTTGTCCTCCATGATTGAATATCACCCAAAGCCAGTCCACTTGCTAATAATATTCAGAGGGATTATGTGGAAAAGTGATTCATGAATTTGCGTAAAAGTGGCCCCGGGATATGAACTCGGAAGTGCAGATAACACTCATCAATTTATGGAAATGGCTTTGCAAGTAGTAACTTGCTGACGTCAAAATGAAGCAGATATAGAAAATTAAAATGGAAAGTGTAAAATCAGTCGGTGGAAAATATAACACAGCACAATCCTTATTGGAATAGCGAAAGATATTTTCCAAAAATTCAACAATGTGTTAAGAAACTGGAAAAGTTCGTTAGAAACAAAGAAATGGCTACTAAACTGACATGTAATAACAATCCTCCAACATGGCAGTTATTTTATGAAATCATATCTCCTAAAGCAAGGCAATAAAGCCACTAAGACGCAAAGGGTTACTGAGTATGGGATAATACGAGGAAATAAAACATTGCGTGTGTGTATGTGTGTGTGTGTGACAGATAGATAGATAGATAGATAGATAGATAGATAGATAGAGAGAGAGAGAGAGAGAGAGAGAGAGAGGTGGGGAACAAAAATTAAAAAGAAACAAGTTAATAATTGGGATTTCATTTAAATCTTTGACGATCAAAATTAATAGGAAAGCAAGAAGCAACAAGAGAGAAGTGCAAGAGAAGAAACTATTAGCATAGAACTTACGGTTACGTCTAGCTGATTCAAATTTAAAATGACGAGGCCTTGTCGCTTACATTCGTAAATTCTACCTACCAAATAGGAGAAATCATCAGAACAACTGCCACGAAAATATTTATGGATACGTCAAAGGGAAGGTACATTACGACGGTAGGAAAATACTGAAGCCGATATGCCAGGTCAGAACCAATAAGATTTCAGAGTCTTCTTTGTATTTTATGAAGAATCTCTAAATGCATAGCTGAAGAATCAGACCAGATGTGACAGTAATGGGCCAGTGGTCGACTTATAAATGTGTCAGATAGATTCTGTCGAGAAAACATGTTTAGCACGACAGAGTGAACCAAATTTCCTAGCAGCAGATCTTGTTATTGATTCAATATAATCATTCCACTTCATGTAATAGGGAAATGGACAATGCTGGACAATTTCTTCACACATCAAACATGAACTGTAAACGTGTCAAACTAGCCTTGATTGACATCTCGTCTAAGAGAAGTACAACTTTTTTTCACAACCCTGACTACAAGAGACACCACTCAAGAGCTGTCGTTAAAACAGCAGGGTAAAGTTGGCTTGATTGGCATCTAGTCTAGGAGACTAGAAAACAATGAATTCACGACCAGGATTATAAACTATTACTTTCAGCAGTTGTTGTTAAAACAGTAGGGTAGACTATGAGGTCTACACTTGATTGGGATCTGGTTTAAGAAAAGAACAAAAAAATCCCAACCAGTGAAAAAAAAAACCTCTCACCAATTGTCGCCAATAGTATCATAGACTAGTAAATTTAGCTTTTATTGGCTTAGGAGAAAAGTCAGCACTGAATTCAAATACAGAAGTTCAAACTAAATCCCTCCTCAGCTGTGGTTTAAAATGAAAGCTGCACGAGGCTCTTTTAGCTTAAATTATTAACTAGTCTATGAAAGGACACATGATTCAAATCAGTAATTAGGGATAAAATACATAAGTAAACTCACTTTTCTATTCTTAATTAGCAGCAAAAAATAGGAGAGGAATCTATTCCTTCACTCAATAATTAGTACAGATGATCAGTGCTCATTCTGAAAAAAACGATCGAATAAAATAAATGTCTAGCACCCAGTGTGGATCAATGTAACTGTAGTGGTAATGGTTCACGTTAAAACATGCTAACAATATCGATTGACGAATTAAGCGCAGATATTTATTCGGCTGAGCTGTGTCCAAGTTATAATTTACACTACTTACATTGTTCGGACTGTTGTCCTCATCTTTATTGTCATGTTCACGACATATCGACCGTTCTATGCTCCGTCCTTCTTCAGGTAATATAGGTCGGAATTTCGAATCGAACTCTTTATTTAGCCCATCGGGGTAGACTGATGTCGTTCCACGTGCCATAACTCAGTTTCAGTTATTTCCTTTTAGTAACTAAACTCTTCAGGTTTTTTGTTTACCTCTGCTTTGACCAGAACTCACAAAACTCTTTGTTTCAAGTCACTGGAATAGTTAAACCAACACTTTCATCCACTGGGCCATATATAATTGAAATGTCGTAAAAATGGTAATAAACATGAGGACAAAAATTCCGAACATTGTAAATAGTATAAACAATTTTGGTGAAAAACGACTTTTATTAAGATTTTCAATTTTTGATTCGGAAACATAGTTTTCACTTAGTATCAATCACATAACCTAGGTAAAGTAATTTTAAACGATTTATATATTATAAATTATTATAATTAAAATTAAACACATGAAAATAATTTTTTCTTAAGACATAATGTCCTTAATAAATATTATTTATAAAAGCTATTAAAATCTTATCTAATAAAATAATAGTTATAAAATAATAGTCATAGTTTTATTGCATTTTTTTATTTTACGATTCAGAGCAGATTTTCAGGAAATGAGTAGTAGTTTGAAAAAGAAAAAAAATAATGATTTCGATTCTCCAAGGAGTCCTGCTTTGACTAATAAAAACATTTTCTCATGTAAATATCATTAATTTTCGAAATTTCATGAAATTATGTAAGTTTTCTTAATTTCTCGAAATTTCATGAAATTATGTAAGTTTGTGGGATAACATGTGTAAAAAAAATATTTTTTGTCAAAATTTTCTCAAAAAACAATTTCAAAAACAATTTCATTCATTTGTGGATAAACCCTGAAAGTTTAATTAAAATTTAACAATTATTTGATTTTTCGCAGAATTTTCAAATCAATGTGTTTTTCACTTGAAAAAGGCGCTAAAACACTAATCGTAAATATTACGTAGGTCGCTAAAGTAAAAAAAAAAAACAAAAAAACGCCCCCCCCCCTAAAAAAAAAACAACAAAAAAACAAGATTTTTGCCAAAATTTCGAACGTGCTAGAAATGATAAAAAAATAGAAATAATAAAAAAAATACTTTCTTCTATCCTCTTAATAATAACTTTGTTTTTAATATGTTTGGTACCATTTTCCATCATGCTATGCTGTTTTTACAGCGAAAAGTGGAGGTACCAAGACTGTCAATAGTTACAATACTTCATCTCAGAAATATAGACAGATGATGGTTATTATTGTATGGCATCTCTCGGGGGTTAGTGTCCCGAGTACGGATATGCCAAATCAGGGTGCTAACAATGTTCGTTTTATGTATTTTTTTTATCATTTCACCCTAAGCAAGCCGATGAAGCCACTAGTAGGCAGGAGATTACAAGGAGTGAAAGAGAATGTGAATACTTTAGTGGTGAAAAGTGAGGAAATGATAATAAAGGAACAAGGTTCAAGAAGACAGAAAATGTGTTTAAAAAATCTCTTCTGGGTACATTAAAGCGACTAAGAACATCATACTTGCTTTTGTCTTTATCTATTCTTACCTATTTATTTATACTTTCCTATTGATTTTTACCTATTCTAAAACTTTCTTTTGCTTTCTACACATTTAAACCTTCAAAAGATTCTCCTGCGTGACACGTTCGCAAATTTCTTTTTTTCTGTTACCAATTTCAGAGAATCTTATTTTTGGTCTTTTACCCGAGTCTTTAAATCCATTTTCAACTCACTTCCCAACTCCACGGTTTTTTCCAACTTCTTTGATGCAAAGAGACAAGTGGAAATAACGCGAAACCTGACGATAAACCTGTTATAAACGGCTGTTGATTGAGTGAAATCAGTCAAACGCTTTGTAAATGGGGTTTTGTCGGCAGCGCATTTCTCTAGCTGCCAGTAAAGGCCTAAATACCAATTCTGATGATTTTACATTGAATGCAAAAGATAAAAATATCAATGACAGCTAGTAACGGTTTACTAGACCAGCTCGTTAACCATTACCCAAGTATGAGGTACTTTCAGTTTATATATATATATTATACCTTTACATTTCTTGAATAGCTTACTGCACAACCCAAGGATCAGGTTGTGAATTCAGAATAGTCCTTCTTCTAGACCAGTTGCCACCCAAAGCTATAGAACCCAGCTGCTGGGGAGAAGACGAGGATTCATACCTTTCCCAAGGGTATTAACACGTAAGTGAATGTAATGGATTCGACTGGAATTCGAACTCGCCTCTACCGATTACCCCAATCCAAGACGCTATGTATTACACCACCGTGCCTCCTCTCTCAGCAAAGTCTTCAAGATAGTTTCTTTTACTTTTTTCCTCGGTACCTTGTATCTTCCCGTTTTTTATACTCTTGATTACGCAATACAAGGCTCAAGAGCCAGTCAAGGTAGAAGATTACTGAACGAGGTTGTTGTAAGGTCGTAAGAAAGGGAAGTGATAAGTGCATATTATGAGGCTCTGCAAGATAGATAACGGCTGACCCTAGACTTGAACCAGTTAAGATCGTAGCGATCAGTGAAATGTCCTTCCAGCTATGTTTCACAAAGTAACAATTCTTGGAAAGAAACTGTCTCCCTCTTTACCAATGGAATACGAAGCTGTCTTCCTCTTTACCAATAGAATACGAAGCTGTCTCCTTCTTTACAAATAGAATACGAAGCTGTCTCCCTCTTTACCAATGGAATACGAAACTGTCTCCCTATTTATCAATGGAATACGAAGCTGTCTCCGGCTTTACCAGTGGAATACGGAGCTGTCTCCCTATTTACCAATGCAATACGAAGCTGTCTCCCTCTTTACTAATGGTATACGAATCTGTCTTCCTATTTAACAATGGAATACGAAGTTGTCTCCCTCTTTATCAAAGGAATACGAAGTTAATGTAGATTCCATCCCAGCCTTTGTGACATGGCGAATCTTAGCAGTGCAAAGTCTGAACTGGTGGGACTAAATAATGTTGCTACTTTGAACATCTGTCATTAAAATGCCGAAAGAGTAGCAAAAGCCTAGCTTCGTTTTTTTATTTTTTATTCGGTAAGGGTTTAGAGGGGGTAATAATTCTTCAATCATAAGACAGTGTAAACTCCGCTGAATATTTAATTATTGTAAAACGGGCATATTGTACGGAATCACGGCTCTTCACAGCTTCCTGTGGCTTGTTGCTCTAAGCAACGTTTGCTTCTTTACCATCCCTCTTTCTTTCAGCCTTGGCATCCATTCCCACAAACCGATTATCTAGGTTACTGGCGGCTTTCCCTCTGAGATTTCTGGTGCTTCCTTTTTATTCACGGTACTCGGACATTTGGCCTACGGACATTTGACCGACGGACATTTGGCCTACGGACATTTGACCGACGGACATCTGACGGACGGATATTTAGCCGAATATGTAGTGGAGTACTGACATGTGTCACACTCTTTATCTTAATGTGTTACATATATTTATATCTATTTACTGTATTAATTTATAATTTTTTGTTTTTTTCACAGGCTTTTAAAAAAATCTATTCTGTATATAACATATTTTACTTCATATATTAATGTAAGGTGATATGTATTTTGAAAAAAAGCGAATTTTACTACAGCAAAAATCTTAAGCTTTTACGATATGAAA